GAAGCTAATCTAGACCAAATCATCAAAATCTCCAACACTAATAACATTGATAAAAAATACTTCACAATCAAACAAAATGACCCACTCAACCACACAGTATACACCAATAATATAGCAATCCCCATGACTATATACAATTAACGCAAGATAGCAATCCCCAAGACCTTTACAAAATCAAAACATTAGCCTACCAGAAAATTAGCTGGGAGCCCCTCCGAAAGAAAGCCCTATTCCAATGTTCAAACTGCCAGCGCATCGGCCATTCTAGCGCAAACTGTGCACTCGGATACAGGTGCGTAAAATGTAAAGACACCCACGACCCGGGCAAATGCAAAATTGATAAATCAAATACAGATAAGAGCAAACTTTACTGCGTTAATTGTGAAAATTATGGACACCCTGCCTCTTACAGAGGTTGCCCATTTTTCAAATTTGCAACCGGCATTAAAAATAACACCAAAACCCTTAACCGTGCGCAGCGCGACGAAAAAATTAACAGTATCAGCAACCAGCTAGCTAGCAATAATCTGAATTGGAGCGGAAACCTACCACCCTCCCCACGCCAAAATCGGCGTCCGAATACAACCACAACCCCCGCGAACGCATTCATCTTTACCAACCAACAAACCCACCCTCCCCCACCGACGAAAAATGCTTGGAACACCCACCCCAATAACGCCCAATACCTTTTCCAAGACAACACCCAAAACAACACCACCAACATAAACTCAATCCTAATCGACTTAAAATCTCAAATAGTAAATATTTTCAAAGACCAACTGGAGCAAATAAACAGATTAATGCAAATCCAAGCAATCAGAATAGATTGCCTGTACGACACACTTGACATCAACGATGGATTCTAACACAACCAGCAACGCACCCACAATAACTAATGCGTCTACGCACCCCATCATCAACGCCCTAAAAATAGCCTCAATAAACGTCAACTCAATAATCGCCCTTAACAAAAGATACGACCTACACAACTTCACCACATCAAACAAGCCTGACATAGTATTTACTAGTGAAACAAAACTAAACAAGAGATACAAACTACAATTTAAAGACTTCGATTTCATTCGAACAGATAGGAAAGCTAGCACTAAAGGAGGCGGCACAGCAATTCTCATTAAAAACACACTCAACTACGATATAATATTTCTCCCTTCCTCGGCCAACAATAAAATTCTAGAATACACCATCATCAAAATAACTGCGAACAATAAAAACATCTACTTGGTAGCACTATACGCCAACAATAAAGACAACAAGATATTCATCAACGAAATCAATACTCTGTTTGAAAAACTAAATCTTATCTCGACCAACAACTACTACATAATGGCTGGTGACCTCAATGCCAGACACACCTTCTGGAGAGACTCAGTTTCGAAAAACAAAGGAATATTATTAAAAAAATGGGAAGAAACTAGCGGCATACCATTCCGAGCCAAAATAATCCCACCTAATGCACCCACCTTTCCGAGTGCCAACTCTTACCTCGACTTATGCATTATAGACAACAGACTAACAATCACAGACCTACACAATAACAAAATCAAAACTATGGATTACAATAGCGACCACAAAGCCCTACTCTTCACTGTCAAACTACACGACCCCGTCACATCGATCGATCCTTCGTACAAACACCGTTACAATTTGAAAAAGGTGAAGTGGGATAAATTTATAAGAAAACTAGAATCTAAATTTGAGATAGAAATACCTGATAATCGAAACCTATCAGAACGCGAGATCGTGTCTTATATTAAACAATTAGAAAACACCATCACCGATACATACAAAGACACAATACCTAAATATAAACCTACGAACTCAATACTCAATTACACAAACCACAAAATCAGAAGCCTACATAAATACAAATCCTTCCTGATAACTACTCTAAATAAATCATACAGAAAAGGGCATAACTCAATGTACAGCCCGGACATACTCAAACACCTCATAGGTAAAATTAACATATCGCTGAAGAACCTATACCAAAGGTCGTACAATAAATTCTGGGAAGCACAGCACAAAAGGATCGACCACAGGGACCCCGAGTCATTCTTCCCACTTATTAATAGATTCTTCCGCCCTAAAAGTCCCCCAACAATAGACCACATCTCCATCAATACTAAGCATACAAACATACTCGAGCGGAGTAAATGCATCGTAAACTCACTCCCATTAAACGACAACAACTGCACCATACACACACCGGTCGACATAATTAACACAATAGGAACCTACTTCGAAACCATCAACTCACCCAGATACATCAACACCAACACACCTCTTAAAACTATGATTGATAATAAAATTAACTCCCTAACCGAATCATACAAAAACAACAATGTCAATAACGCAACAATCACTAATTTCTCATCCACCAACCCAGCGTCCAACCCCCTCACAATTCAAGACAGTATATCATTCCACTGCACCACCCGTGTCGAACGAATTTTCCGACGACTACCAAATAAATCATCCTCCGGCCTCGATAACATACCACCAATAGTACTTAAAAATCTCCCGAGCACAATAATTAGAGCCTACACCATAATTTTCAACAACTGCTTAAATAACAGAATTTTCCCAGACACCTGGAAAACCGCAAAAATTCTTCCAATACCCAAGAAAAACAAACCGCCCGACGACGTCACAAGCTACCGACCTATAAGTCTCACCCCTGCCATCAGTAAAGTTTATGAAGCCATCATAAACAACACAATCACACACTACACCCGGAAAAACGAAATCATTCCAGATAATCAATTTGGCTTTAAGCACAAGCACTCCACCACCCACGCTCTACACAAACTCCTGAATGATATCAACTTGCATCTACATAAAGAGGAAGTAGTCTGCGCATGCCTAGTCGATCTAGAACGAGCATTTGACTCGGTATGGATCAACGGTCTCTTATACAAATTACTTCAATTAAAATTCCCGCAAGACATCATACAACTAATATGGCACATGTTGCAAAACAGGAAATTTAGAACTTGGAACGGCGAATGCCTTTCATCTATCACTTTCGACATAACTGAGGGACTGATGCAAGGCACCGTCAATTCACCAATACTATTTAACATATATACCCATAGCATACCAAACTTATTTAACATCAACAAAAATAATAACACCCACTCAATTGCATATGCCGACGACCTAATTATCCTTACAGCGGACAAAAACGCCAAAATAGCCCAAAGCAAACTAGAAACATTAGTCAACAAAATCAGCAAAGTATACATGCAATGGAACCTGCGCATAAATCCATCCAAGTGCGAAACAATAATATTCCATAAACCGCTACGATTCATCACGAAATCTAAACGCTCTGACATAAAAAATTTCAATATTAATTTAACAAACGAAAACAACATAACACACAAGATAACCAACAAAAAACAAGTTAAATACCTAGGAGTTCAACTCGACTACCTACTTAAAATGAACGACCACCACACCATTCAATTANGAGTAAATGCATCGTAAACTCACTCCCATTAATCGACAACAACTACACCATACACACACCAATCAACATCATTAACACAATAGGAGCCTACTTCGAAACCATCAACTCACCCAGATACATCAACACCGACACACCTCTTAAAACAATGATTGATAATAAAATTAATTCCCTAACCGAATCATACAAAAACAACAATATCAATAACGCAACAATCACTAATTTCTCAGCCACCAACCCAGCGTCCAACCCCAACACAATTCAAGACAGTATATCATTCCACTGCACCACCCGTGTCGAACGAATTTTCCGACGACTACCAAATAAATCATCCTCCGGCCTCGATAACATACCACCAATAGTACTTAAAAATCTCCCGAACACAATAATTAGAGCCTACACCATAATTTTCAACAACTGCTTAAATAACAGAATTTTCCCGGACACCTGGAAAACCGCAAAAATTCTTCCAATACCCAAGAAAAACAAACCGCCCGACGACGTCACGAGCTACCGACCCATAAGTCTCACCCCCGCCATCAGTAAAGTCTATGAAGCCATCATAAACAACACAATCACACAATACACCCGAAAAAACGAAATCATTCCAGATAATCAATTTGGCTTTAAGCACAAGCACTCCACCACCCACGCCCTACACAAACTCCTGAATGATATCAATTTGCATCTACATAAAGAGGAAGTAGTCTGCGCATGCCTAGTCGATCTAGAACGAGCATTTGACTCAGTATGGATCAACGGTCTCTTATACAAATTACTCCAATTAAAATTCCCGCAAGACATCATACAATTAATATGGCACATGCTGCAAAACAGGAAATTTAGAACTTGGAACGGCGAATGCCTTTCATCTATCACTTTCGACATAACTGAGGGACTGATGCAAGGCACCGTCAATTCACCAATACTATTTAACATATATACCCATAGCATACCAAACTTATTTAACATCAACAAAAATAATAACACCCACTCAATTGCATATGCCGACGACCTAATTATCCTTACAGCGGACAAAAACCCCAAACTAGCCCAAAGCAAACTAGAAACATTAGTCAACAAAATCAGCAAAGTATACATGCAATGGAACCTGCGCATAAATCCATCCAAGTGCGAAACAATAATATTCCATAAACCGCTACGATTCATCACGAAATCTAAACGCTCAGACATAAAAAATTTTAATATTAATTTAACAAACGAACACAACATAACACACAAGATAAGCAACAAAAAACAAGTTAAATACCTAGGAGTTCAACTCGACTACCTACTTAGAATGAACGACCACCACACCATTCAATTAAACAAAGCAATAAACGCCTTCAGGGCAAACCACAGATTATTCTTTAACAAAAACCTGAGCCCGCGAACCAAAGTAATCTGCTACATCCTCCTAATCCGACCTCACCTATCATACGCAGCGCCAGTTCTATGGAATGTCAGTGCCTCACAAATGGAAAAAATTAGAAAATTCGAACGAAAGTGCTTAAGAGTCGCTCTCCACGCCTTCAGGAAAGAGGGCAGCAAACATCGCATCAGTAACCAATACATCTACAACAAAGCGCAAACCCCCAGATTTGACAACTTCTTCATAAAACTAACAAGAGACTACTACGCCAACCTTCCATCAATTAAAAATAAATATCTAAAGTCATACACCATCACCAACCAACGTGATATGGAAAGCATGACCCAATCAGGCTATATAACTCCACAAACCTTCATGCACCTAGACAAATTAGGGCTAATACAGTACGACAACAACCTCCCCATAATATATCACTACCCCAGGCACCAGACCAATAAAACAATCAAACTTGCTCACAATTATCCCATACTTAAATACTCCAAAACCCTACCTAATATCGACACCAAACGAAAATACAAAAATAATAAAAAATATTGGTGGCTACACGATGACGAAAGACAAAATGACGAATTACGCCGCAGAGCCATAAGACCCCATAACCGTAAAATTAACGACCGTCCCCGACAACGACCTGCCCATTGGCCCGGACAAACATACAACACCATATAACTTATAACTATAACCACGCTTACCCCCTCCGACCAATCCAATAG